TGGTACAGGTGGCAAAATTTCAAGATCATGGGGACAAGACCCCCGCTCAATGAGAATGGGCCCAAAGTGAAGGGGTACATATAAACGTACATAAAACCTTTCTTAGTGAAGGTCACCCGCTCCACCAGATCAGGAGCAATAATATTTAGGGCGTGGCAGTCACAATCCTCCTTTATATCAGGAATATTGGAAGGGCAAATAGAAGAAAGATATTTACCAACAGCCTAAGTTCGAGGGTTTGAAGTGAGAAACTTCTCTTGGAAGTCGTAGACGGTATTCACATGTTTAGGTACGATGGTGCTGACCATGGGAGGGTCAATGTCACACCCCTTTTTTTACCCGCAAAATGATATGTGTGTTATGGATTGTGGGTTAAAGAGTTTTTCCAATTAAAGTGACAAATTTGAGTAGGGATTATTTTATTTATATAGTCGCCACTTGGAATTGATTTTTCGACCTTCCAAGTCACCTTTTATTTGAATCCCTGGTCAAAGGAAGATTTGACTCTATTTTTATTGGTCCGCGAAAATAAAGTTTAGGTAAGGAATTCTGTTGACTAGGGAGAAGGTATAAGGCATTCCCCGAGTCCCATGGTTCTAGCACGGTTGCTTTGTTGACTGAAAGTGGCTTGAATTAATTTTGGACAAACTATGTTTTATTGAATTTCTATGTTTTACCTATCCGCTCTTAATTATTAAAGAAAGATTTGAATAAAATTGTTACCGTACCACGTGAGCGAGTGTGCGACCAAGATGAATTTTATTGAATTTTATCATAACCGCGCTACGCAAGCAAATCCGCAGTCCTGACGAGGATTATTAGTACATCATTACTTTTGAAGAAAATTAATACATTCTAAGAAATTAATTTTAAAATTTATTAAAAAGTCAACTATCGCACTACGCAAGCAAATCCGCGAGTTTGGCAAAGAGTTCAAAAAAATTAACTAGAAAACTAACGAATATGGTATGACATTGTTGAATTAAATTATTAAATGTTAAACATCATGTTACGCAAGCGATTCCGTGGAATTAGAGCGCGCCTACTAAATGCTTAGAATTTTATATTATTAAAATTGAGAAAATTATGAGTGATTAAAAATAATTTTAATTATTATGAAAATCTTATTGTTGTTCGAGTTGGCAAAAAGAATCAGCACTTGAAAGCTTGAGCCATTTCATGCTTATTAGCTTTTCAAGGCATTAGGCCATCTTATTTGCTTATGGGCTGCCTTGTTGGTTCACAGTAAAATAGGCCTACCTAAATTGCCTAAATTACTAATATCACATATATCTATATTATATTAAAAGCACGAAGGCCCTTAGCGAAATGTCGTTCGCCTTTTATACCCTTTAAAATATAGAGTTCACATTGGACAATATAGTAATTTAAGTATTTCATTAATATTTAATAAAAATTTAACAATCTTGGAATTATAACGAGATTATTTGGTAAATTTTTGCCACAATTATTTGTTATTAATTTTGCATTAATTATTTAGTATAATGTTTCTTCACGTTTTTTTCATAGGAAAGTTAATAAAAAAGTTTCCCTAAACTTTCGCTTCCCTATGACTTCGTTTGTTTGCCTTAATTATTTGGTAAACTTGTCTTCATGTTTCTTACACAAAGAAAGCAAATAAAAAGAATTTTCTGCACTTTCACTACTTGATTCACTTTCATTAAATAATCGTATGTCTATTGAACTTTGGTTAAATTTCCTTTATTCTTTGGAGTAGTAAATATTTGGTAAATTTTTCATTCACTAGAATAGTTAATAACGTTTTTCCTAAACTTTTACTACTTTGTTCAACTTTCAATAAATGACTTTATTTGTCATTAAATTATCTAAATTCGGAAATTTTGTAGTTAGATTCTCTACGAGCATATAATTCCTTTTATGTATCAATTTGTGTACCAAAATATTTCTATAAAAAAAACTACAATGTCACAATTTAATTTTCAAACTTCGCCCTATTCTAACACCATAATTTCAGGTTTTGTTTCTTTTACTAATATCAACATCTTTTATTACTTCGTATTTTGCAAGCACGTTTGCATGCACCAGATTTTATTGTTGCATCAACAATTTATCTTTATTGTTGCATCAACAAATTGTTATTATATAATTTTTGTTTCATGTTTTGGACGTGGCTAATTTCACATCTCACGTAATTTACAAATTTAATACTTATTATCGAACAATTGCAATTCATCACAAAAATCAATTAGACATTCGATCTAAGTCTTATTACTTAAATTAGTATTTTTTTTTTTCTCTTTGATGTATGATAAATAATACTTATTACTATGCCAGCTCAAATTGCTTGTTTTTAAAAAAAATTAAAATTAGACTATCTCCTTTAATTCTGTGTAATATTAATACTACATGATTTGCGTTATTGCAATTGACATGCTTGAATCACTTAGATTTCAACAATTACATCTGTTCATGTAAACAATCTTCCTTATATCATAAAAATAATCAATTATTGAATTAGTCACTTTGATAACTTATAAAACTCTTATGCATGCTTTATTTTAGGTACACCTGAATGACCAGTGAAAAGGAATTGTCAGACCAGTATGTCCCAATTAATAGTCTAAAAGTATCTGATTCATGTTGGGTAATACGAGTGTTAGTGTTTGGGAGTGGAATAGTAAAAGAGCTCAACAATAAAACAAATCAACGCACCCGAAAAACTGTGACATTAGTTAATGAATAGGTAATTTTTATTTTGTATCAATATTTTATTTCATGTCTTTTCATATTATAGTTTTAACCATCAGATTAGCTTAAAGTGAAACATTTTACCGGGAACAAAAATTCACACTATACTTTTCAATGGTTATATTGAGAAGTGAGAAAATTATTTACAACAAAATAAGATTGTTACATCATAAACGGACGCATCAATAGTGCCAATCCTAATTTCCAATCATCGCACAAGGAGCTTGAGATTGGATTTAAGGAGAATACTTTAGTTGAAGAAAGCAATACTCACTTTTCGACCATTGGTTTTTCAAATAATTTTATTTAATTCGATGAGGCATCAAAGTGCACCAATCGAACAAATTTTGGTAAGTTATTTAGATTTCATCCAGTAATCTTTCACTAAATATACAAATAATATTTTACTTTTGTTCGCCTTATTAATTTTTTGATAATATACATTACTACATCCAAGCTTCGTTGTACCACTCAATTTAGTGTCTACACACTGAATACAACTATTTCTTTAATGTAATATTTTTTTTTGCATCGTCAATTGCTATTATACTTAATTCATTCTTATTCAATTAAATATGTACTATTTTAGACAGTTTACAATTTAAATATTTGTTTCAACATCAGTTACCTTTATACGTAATTCATTCTTATTCTACCTAATTAAAATACGCTCTTTTGTGCATAACGCATAATATACGTGCAACGCACGTATATTAAATTTAGTATATATATATATATACACACACTACCAAAAAAAAAGAAGGAAAGACCGCCAAATGAGAAGAAGAAAAAAAAAACACAAAATTGACCAAAAAAATAAAATTAAAGTACTACTCCTAGTTGGAAACCAAGTCACGTGTTGGTAAGACAGTGGAAACAAAGAATGCAAGAGAGTAACACTATAATGCATATTCAAGAAGTTAAGCATTTCGCATAAAAGAAACGCTATAATGCATATTCAAACATATTCAAAAAAGAGGCTAGATTTAACTTGAATGGAGACCCAGAACCTGCTTCGGATATCCTTATAACTCAATACCAACTTGTCGAAACAACAATTAGATTAAAGCCCTTAACAAGCACATGATCTTATTTCACCTTGAAATGCTCATTTTCTTAAACTGAAGAAAGGAAAAACAGGCAACACATGCGGTTTATCTTAATAAGAATAGCTCAAACATTCGAGTGAGATTCGACTAGATACATGAAACTAATCTGCTTCATTGCCAACTTACAACCAAATGTAAAAGAATTAAGAACTCTAGCATTTACTTCTAATAACCAGGAGATTGGATAAGAAGCAGAAAGCAACTGAAATGATTTCAAATAATTGAGTCTTCTTTATTTCATTCATATAAAAATAAAACTAACACTACAAAGGCTAAAGGTTACCTCGTGTTGCAGAAAGAGAGTTCAAATTGCAAGGATGAGTTTTGAACTAAGCGGATTAGTTGCAGTAACTCTTAAAGCAGATGCAGGGATGTATTCTGAACCACAGTGAGGTTCTACTTACAGCCAGAAACATGTTCTAACAGCAGCAACACCAAACTCCAGGAAACCAGACAAAACTTGAACCAACAGACCAAACAAAATAGAAACTAGATACCTAAGGGACTTATTTATTTTCTGGAACCTATGAAGAGGAAACTGAAGCCCTTTTGTTCTCCTAGTTGCTGTCTTTTCTATTGATCTTGTATTCTTTTTTGAGGGTAAAAGATGTGTTTCTAAGTGTGTTCAGACAACTCTGAAGAGGTTATCCAAAAGTGTCCTAGAGTGTGTAGAGAGACCTCACCTTTATAGAAGAGGAGAAGGACCCTTGGGACAGATTTTGTTTTTAGCCAAAAATTTGTCCAAAAATGATAGATTTTTTGACCAAAAATCTGTCCAAAACCAGAATTTTATCCAATGAACAGTTTTCCTTACCAAATGTGGACAGAATTTTGGAGTATTGTACTCCAAAACCGTCCGCAACAGTGAAAAGCAAACAGATAAAGGCCCTACACTCAAGTATTCTCTATCTTTATCAACAAATAGCTGAATTTAGAACTCAAACCTTCAAATTGACCAAACTATGGATTGATACAGTAGAAACAAGACTTAAAAGGTAACCGAACTAAGTATTCAAACAAACTAGATTCAAATCAATTTGATTTTGTGCAAACTAACATGAAGCGATTGAGATTACAAACTATCGCGTGAAACAGAAACTAAACGAGCATTACTAAACTATCACATATGGCTAATAACAACTTAACAAACGACTAACTAAGTAAACGATTCAACTAATCTTTTTTATTTTTCATGAAACTAGCATAAAACACTTAACTATCGACCGGCTAGGTCGGAAAACTAAAAATTCAAACTTAACAAATTCACACAAAATAGTCGACCGGCTAGGTCGAAGAACCAAAAATCAGAACTAATAGACAATAACGAACTACTCGACCGGCTAGGCCGTAGAACTGAAATTCGCATTTATAAAGTAACATGTAATTCAAAACTAATACTCAATTGCACATAAACAACAACGACGTTAATAGAAATTAAACCTTTTAAAACTAATACTAATTGCAAAAGCGAAAAATCAGAGAAGATAAAAAGGAAATAAGGTTTATACCAATCGAGGGCATTTGACATTGTTCGAGCCACAAGAAGATGCNACCTTTTAAAACTAATACTAATTGCAAAAGCGAAAAATCAGAGAAGATAAAAAGGAAATAAGGTTTATACCAATCGAGGGCATTTGACATTGTTCGAGCCACGAGAAGATGTCGGGGATGCCAATTAATGGATATCCGACCCCGAGGCGCATTTTTCTTTTTGGCAGACGCTAAACCAATAGATTCTTGCGTCTTGCCAAAAGGAAACAAATGCCTTTGGGTCGAAAAAAGAAAAAAAAAATAGAAAAGGATAAGCAGTGGCGGCGGGCAGTGGGGTCGCTGGAGTTTCGGGTTAAGACCAATGCCAAATGATAGCCCTTGTCAAGCTATATACTTCTATGTAGGCGTTGGGTGAAAGGGGTGGCTCAATATTCACGGATTTGACAAAAAAGTGCGGCTAAGGCTTTCCTAGATCTAAAATTCGTGAATTTTGAGGGGGTTTTGAAGGATTTTGTTTGAAGATATGGAAAGAGGAGGTTGAGAGGAAGAAAAGATGAAATTTTGGGGTGGTTTGGGAATGCCGGTGGCGCCGCCGCTGTGCGGAGAGGCGGCGGCGGCTGGGAAGAAGAAGAGAGGAGAGGGGGGGTTCTAGGGTTTGGCTCATAAGTAAATGAGACCAAAAATCTGAATTTTAACATTATATACAAAATGCGGAATTGAATCGGGGCCATTGGATCAAGCAAAATGGAAGGACGGGATTGATCTCTGAGTCACTTAATGAAACGACGTAGTTTCGATATAAACTTCGTCGTTTCGACCTTCCGATGGCAGCCCCCATTTGGACCGAACCTGGGCTCTTTGGGCTTCTAATTTTGGACCAATTTTGGCTTAATTTCAATTAAAATATACTAGCTCAATCCCTTACCCCCCCTAACTATCTTATTTAGTCCTAAAGAAAATATACAAGTAGAAAAGAATTTTTTTTTTGGTATACATAATTTAAAGATGCAAACTAAAATATACAAATAAAAGGTAAAAAATATTTTTGGTATTTTTAATAAAAGAAGAAAAATAAAATGCACAAATAACGACAAATCATCCAAATATTAGTATTTGTAGGAGAATTGGAAGTGAACAAAAATTAGGTATTCACAGTCAGCATCAACATTAACTTTCTTGTCTTTGCTCCTCTTCAGGCCTCCACCGAATAGAAGACCAGAATTCTTGGAACATTTAGTAGGAGAAGCCATAATGATAAGGAGATGATAGAGTTTTTTTTTATAGAAGATCAAAGAGAGATGAAAGCAAAAGGAAGTTAGGTGCAAAGAGGTTAAGAAAACTTATGAAGTTGTTAGAAGAGAAAGAAGAAGAATGAGGCGTATAAGTAAAGGTATGGACGACTAAAATTGTGGTCATGATTACCTCGAGAACCGGCGAAAATATTACAAAATTATGGGATAACACGTGTTCGGAGGTATTAAATGCAAGGAGATGTGCGTCTTATCAAGTGTCAGAAACTATTTATAAGGGTTCGGAGAATTTTTCGCCAAGAAATGAATCTTCACCAACTTCTCAATGACACAAAGATGTGCCACCGGAAAGCACGGGGACTATCTGTATAGGATAAAATTAATTTATATTAAATGCTCGAATGATTAAAGACGAAAGATAAAGGGAGTAATAACCAAGACCGAGGACAATAACTTTGGTTGAAATCGGGTAGATCCTGAAGGGAACACAGTCAACAGAAACAAATGAATATTTGTCACCTGATGACATTAAATGAAGAATATTCCTCAGTATTAAATATGGAGCCGTTACAGAGTATTTTGGCATTCATGGCCTGCCGTTACATATATGTCAATGACCCCCATTATTGTCATTTAAGAGGGGCTTGATCCTAGGATCTTGTTCCCTAGATATAGCTATAAAAGAGGATTTCAACAACCATTGTAACACATGAAATCTCTGTCAAAACTTATGCTATATTTTATTCTCAAGCTAAATAATACAACTTTATTTTTTGTCTAATATTGCTCATACTGCTGTCCTCGGAAGCATTGGTCCCGGAGCCAGGCTTGCTATTTCCTTTGATTTTTACGTTAAATCTTATTTTTAATTCAATTTGTTTATCATTTTGGATCAAATCAGTTCGTTTGTCTATAAACCACGTCACAAATTCACCTGTACCTTTTTACGGGTAAACAATAAAATGCAGCAAGTCTTCAATTTGAAACTTAATATTGTCTTTATGGGAAATTTGTAATTGCCAATTTTAGTTTTCTATATAGTAGGCAGAGCATAGGGTACGTATGTCCAACTTTGAGATTTTAAGTGAAGGATTTTTATGCAGCATTTCATAAAAGATGATATATTTCATTAAAGGATATTTTCTGTAACTTATAGGATAAACCACATTAATTAGTATGATTTTAGTTTTAAACTTATGATATAAAGAAAAATATCAGCAGGGATTACTCTTTTTTTTTTCCTTTTTTTTTTTCTGAACAAACAAGTGATAGGATTTATAGGGCTAAATTTCTTTGCTCTTTTGCGCATATATGCACGAATTTTTTAGTTTTCTGGTACCAGCTGCGGAGCTAGCCTTTCGATTGCACGTTCGGTCAAACCTAGCAGTATTCCTGTATTCAGCTTAAAGAATCTATTGAATTATATATAAATTATTAATTTAGAACCTAATAACTGAAAATAATTAGAATTCCAAACTCATAAGCTTTTAAATCCTTGCTCCACCTATGTCAATGTTAGAGGGTTAAATGCAGAGACATGTCCATTACAACATTTGTGTCCATGTTAGATTTAGAGCCCGTTTGGATTGGTTTATTTTAAGTGACTTTTAAGTCAAAATAGCTTTTAAGCCATAAGTTAGGAATTATAACTTTTGACTTTTGACTTGTTTTTATTATTTTAGCTTAAAAACAAGGGGTTAAAAGTACTTTTTTACTTTATCCAAATACTACAAAATAACTTAAAAGTTATTTGACTTAAAAGCATTTAAAATAAGTCAATCCAAATAGGCACTTAGATTTTGTGGTGCGCTCTGGTTGTTTTTTTGGTCAGTTGTCTTAGAGTGCCCGGCTGCCCGCAATCACTTCCATGGATTTATGGATGCGGTGAATTGGATCAGATAATATGCACTTAGCCATCTCATTTTGGCTCTACTTCCGTATATTCCTTTTATAGTTCTTCACCGCCTTTTTAAAAACAGAAGGATGCATAACACAACTTTTTCTCAATGTTTCTTCTAGTGTTAATTTAATGGGCCTAGTGTTTTCTGGTTGAACTTAAAAACAAACAATAACATTGCCATTAGAGTTTAAGTTCAACACCCTAACAGTGTCAAAAGTATTTACACACTATCACATTATTTATACGGTAAATTAGATGTGAATGAAATCTCCATGATAAGCATTAATTGGTAGCATGATAAAAACGGTACATAACTTGGTACGATAAGTTTTGTTAGATATTTTGAATTTATAAGTGACTAAAACAGGAAAAATAAATGAACAGAAATTGGTAGTATTATGTCTCGAGCCCACAAATTCGTTGTATGTTCTTAAAGAATCTTATCCTCTTACTGTCGTCCAAGGTTCATGGATAAATTCTTCTCAGGATAGAACGGAACTTTCAACTTAGCGGTAATGACACTTAAAACCACTAAGTTATCAGCGAACTCAAAATAATGGTGTAAATCACACGACCGACTTACTTTGTTTTGAAAGTAATGATGCAGAAAGAAGAAGGAGATGAAGCAGAAGATTTCACTGAAGGAATGACTGCTTATTTATAGCCAACGAATTTCTGGATTGAAAGGGTGTGAAAGTGGTTGTTCACACTGCAGGTGGCTATTCGTGAAATGCAGCCTCTCTGGTGGCTGCTTAACGCGAGAATATTTAAATAAAATTAAAGACGAAAATTAAATAATTTATCGTTACAAATAACGGTCACTGAAAATATTAATATTTAATTAATTAATTTCATTTTATTGGTCCAAAAAATTAAGTCAATCAATCATATCAATTGACTGAAGCCGGAGCCGGAGCCGAGCCGAGCAAGCGACGACGATGACGGCGCGAGGCCCCTTCCTCTTAGCTCCTTTTAAGAGCTTAAGGAAGTGTTTCTATATTTAAACCCAACAAAATACTTGTCTTTAACCAATGAGGGACAAAGTGCAAAAGCCAAAATTGCCTTTTTACCTTCTTTCCTCATTTCCCATTCACACTACCACACTTCAACCCCAACAATCCCCCACATGAATGGGGAATGATGAACATGCATGAAAATTTTTGTGTGATTCGCAACTAAGGACTAATTGCATCGGGATAAGTTGGTTTCCCTTTGAACTTTACGTAGTGAGCATATATCGATATACTCGGTCAATCGGTAGATTTGATATCTTTGAACCATCGAGCTTTAGTGTATACCTAGACAACATATGTCACATAATTAATCATTATTCATCTTTTGGTTCTCATTGTTGTGTTCGTTTTAGCCATGAACACCGCCTGGTTTCATAAGTGCATAGAGAACTGACCTTACAACATTCTCTTTGAAGCGGCTTACACTTCACACTTATATAGGTGATTCCTAAACGTGTTATCCCGTAGATACACTATTTAATATACCCCATATCAAACTTAAAAATTATTAAAAAGTCCTAACGCTTTATCCTTGGTACTGAACTTTGTCTGCATCACGAGAATGGACCAAAATTTTATGTGACAATGTTGGACCGTCACTAATGACTTTGTTTGATCTCCTTGAACCTAGATCTTAGGATCTCCAGTTTTTTAGGTAGAGTTACCTCCATGGTAACTTGTCATCGGCCATAGTCCCATTCCCTTTGATGACTTCTCAATCGCCTCTCTAGGTAGGCCTTTTGTAAGCGGATCCGATACATTATCTTTTGACTTTACATAGTCAATTGTGATAATTCCACTAAAGAGTAGTTGTCTAACGGTATTATGCCTTCGTCGAATGTGACGAGATTTTCCGTTATACATAACGCTCCCAGCCCTTCCTATTGATGCTTGACTGTCGCAATGTATGCATACAGGTGCCAAAGATTTGGGCCAAAAAGGAATGTCTTTTAAGAAATTCCGGAGCCATTCAGCTTCTTCACTGGCCTTGTCTAGCTATAAACTCAGATTTCATTATAGAGCGAGCGATGCATGTCTGTTTGGACGACTTCCAAGACACTGCTCCTCCACCAATGGTAAAAACGTATCCACTTGTGAATTTTGTTTTTGTTGATCCGGTGATTCAATTTGCATCATTATATCCCTCAATAACTGCGGAATAATTATTGTAATGCAATGCATAGTCTTGAGTATATTTCAAATATCCCAAAACTTGTTTCATTGCTATCCAATGAGCATGGTTAGGATTACTTGTGTATCGACTAAGCTTGCTTATTGCACAAGCTATATCAGGTCGTGTACAATTCATAATATACATCAAACTTCCCAACACTCGAGCATATTCCAATTGAGATTTGCTTTCACCTTTATTCTTTATAAGAATATGGTTTAAATCAATTGGCGTTTTTGCTTCTTTAAAGTCCAAACATTTGAACTTTTCAAGAATCATTTTAATATAATGAGATTGAGACAAAGCTAGACCT